TTTTTTTTTTTTTTTTTTTTTTTTTTTTTTGACAGGGAGTAGTTTTGAGGGAATCCATAGCTAGCAGTACTCTGATGAATAGGTGAGCACCCAAACCCCTGGAGGCGGGGGTGGGCCAGGTTTAATCATGTCTGCCTCCAGGCCTCTTAAAAGGGCAGGTAGAGTTAAAAAGTGACTCCTCACCCCACAGTGCTGTTTTGGTGTTTGCAGGAAGCTTCGAGATGAAACTAGCTTCTCCTTTTGCGTGGAGAGTGGCTGGGCCAGAGGGGTAAAGGTGGACCGAGCTGGCAGGGGCCTTGCGCTGGTCTGGAGGCGACAGATTCAGCAGCTGAACCGGGTCAGCCTGGACATGGCCAGCGCAATTGTGGATGCCTACCCCTCCCCACAGCTGCTGGTGCAGGTACGCCGCTCTAGGGTCCGTGTCCACAGGAGGCCCCAGGTGCCTCCTGAACAGCACTCAGGGCCAAAGCATGTCTGCAGGTTGGCCAAGGTGAGAGTAAACACCAACCCAGGGAGGGAAGATGGGCTGTTATCTCTAACCCAAGCTCTCTACCCTGCCGGCTCATGGGCAAGAGGTGACCATGAATTGTCAACATTCAGAGGTCGCTTCTGGCTGCAGGCTTATCGGCGATGTGACTCGGAGCAGGAGCGCCAGCACTTGCTGGAAGGCATCCAGGTGCGCCGCGGGGTGGGTGTGACAGCTACCTCCCGCCGGGTCGGCACGGAGCTGTCCAGGCGCATCTACCTGCAGATGACGGCTCTGCAGCCAGACCTATCTTTAGACAGTGCTGACTGATGCTAGCCTGCAGGGACAAAGACAGCAATGGGAGAGTGCCACCTCCCCAAACCTGGAACAAGACTGGAAGCACATTCCCGGCAACAGCTAGGGGCAGCCGGCCTTTGCCCTGTCCATATCCCCTCCGTGTCTCGGCAGAGGCTGATGCCAGCATCTGCCTTTACTCACAAGTCCTCCCCTAGTAAAAACCAGCTGCCCCCACCAGCCCTCAGAAAAGACACACAGGCAGACCACTCGACAGATTTAATAACTGTAGAAATCCAAAAGAATCAGCATCAAATCTCGAAGTCAGAGTGGCTGGCATGGCTGGGTCGGCCACAGTGCTGCCTTGACCAGCCCAGGAACCTGACTGCTGTTTCCACAACTTTGTCATACGTGTTGTATTTAGCTCAATAAAGCATTTGGAATGTGGCCCTGGAGCTCGGAGGAAGACTAAGGAAATGTGTGGTGAGTGAGTGAGGTGTGGACCTGTGGGGCAGAGCTACCCGCGGGGAGGTAAGACCTTTCTTCAAATTGGGACGGTCATGAGTAACAGAGTTACTGAGGGGCCGCTGTAAATAAAACCCAGACCCCGTTCTGTCTTGGCCGTGACAGGATTTGCTCCCTCCAGAGAGTGAGCACTGAGTTGCTTTGATCCCTCACCCAGCTGCTGTATAAAGTGAATGGTGGGGACAGGAAGGTCTGGGGACAGACCGGGCTGCTGCCCTTTGCGGCTCATCTGTACGGATCGCTGTCCAGCTCCAGGGTGCTACCTGTTTTCCCCCCATCTCCTGTTCCTGTCCACTCCCATTAGATGTCCAGAACTATAGTTCTAAAGCTTCATATCTGTGAAGCTGAGTTTCAGGTTCCCTTTGAGGTATTCTGTCGCATGAGCACTCAGAAAGGTCACAGACTGGACCACATTGCAGAGGCCGCCTCTGTGCTCCCCGGGAGCCAAGCAGTCACTGCTCTGAACCCCAGAAGCTGCCCAACCCAAGTAGCCTTGGTGCTTTGCTGGGAATCACGAACTTGTCTACCATGTAGGGCTACACTCGGCTGAGCCCTAATTCTGGCAATTCTGTTCTAGAATGGTTGCTTATAAAGGAGGTCAAATGCTGTCAAGAAAGAAAGTGACAGAGCGGGCATCGCATTCCACCTAGAGGGGTTGGGAGGCGTCAGGTGGGTCCTGGAAGGCCTCACTCTGCCCATGAGCATTAGCTGGACAGTGCTCAAGTCCCTCTCACAGCGAGGCTGTGTGGCTGCCACGATGCCTGGGTGTCTGAGGTCCTTGAGGAAACTAGTGCAGCCCTCCCCAACCTAGGCTGGATTTGCTGAGTGTGCCATCCCCTGGCCCCCAGCAACACAATGGCTTCAGATCTGCCCAGTTCCCCAGGGAGGAATGAAAGAAAGGGCTGTGACATACAAAAGTATCAATGTAGTGACAGCTGACCATTTAGTAGAAATGAGCTTGCCTTTAGACAGCTTCTGTAGTAACTAGAAAAGGCTGTTTTCCCTCCCGACAGAGAAGCCTATTCCTTTAGGCATGCAGGTCACTCCCTCCCACCTCCCAATTCTCACCCCACCAGGAAGCCCTGCTGGGGAACGGGGCCCCACATATGGGGTTTCCAGTACCAGCGGTAGCTGCGGCTGACGACAGGTCTGACGCTAAAAAGAGGTTGTGTCCAGCAGAACCCAATTCCATAGGAATCCAAGCTCTGGGACTGGGAGGCAGCAGGGCCGGGCTGGGCTCACTGCTGAGAGTCGGCCTGCAGGACCCACCGGAGGATCTCGTGGCGCCGCAGCCCCTGCACGGCGTTGTCATAGATGGTGTTCACACTGGCGCAGAGTGGCTGCTGCTGCAGTGCCGTCAGGCGACACGCAACCAGCCCGCCCCCGACACACAGGAGCAGCAGCAACAACAGCAGCTTCAGCACAGCCCAGGACCGAGCCTGCTTCCGGGGTGGTGGCTTGCGGGGGCGGGAGCCAGACTTGGATTCTAGAGGGACAGAATTGCAGTGGACAAAAGTTCCATCAGTGTGGGTGACCCACTCTCCACTAGGTACATGCGTTCTCCACCCAGAGCCACCTACCTTGTCTCAAGCCCTGCGGACAAATAATCAAGGCTCTTAAAAACTGCTGTCCTTCCTTGCTGGGAGTGGGGCACACACCTGTAATCCCGATGCTCAAGAGGCTGAGGGAGGAAGACTGCCTGGAGTTTAAGGCCAGCCAACCTGGGCAACTTAGTGAGACCCTACCTCACAATAAAAGGGCTGCATTCAATCCCCAACACCATCCAGAAACTAAAACAAAAAAACAACCAGAAACCTGCTCTCTGGAGACTGAAACATAACCACTGCCTCCCTCAGATCCCTGGAGACCACACTGGAAATGAACGCAGGCTGCATGTCCCTGGCAGCTCGGTCCCCGGGGTTCTACACTCTTCTTGCTGATGAGACCCAGGTTCCTCAGGGCTGCCCACGTGGGAGACAAAGTTACCGACACTGAACACCAGCACTGCATAACGGGTGCAAAGAGCCTAGACAGGCAGGGTGGTGACCGAACACTCCTCGCCATCAACAGTGATTATAACAGGACGCGGGCTTGCGTGCTGTTCTAAGATTATACATTTGTCTTTCCTAAATCCTCTATCAGCATATTTATAATTTAAAATACGCCTTGGGATTTTTAGATAAAAATTTATAAAGCCTGACTGGGTACCCACAAGGCCAATGGCCACAGTTCTGATTTCTACTTTAATCCCTAGCATTGCCCTCTTAAATAAGTTTGAGCCTCATCTTTAACCAAAATACAAAATAAACAAGGGTGGTGCACCTGCCAAGGCTCCCTTGGGAGCCTGTGGCCCAGGGGGTGTACACACCCAGTATGTGGTGAGATACCCTGGGGAGCGTGAGGCCCCTGCAGTTCTGCGAATGCAGGCTTGTCTAAGGGCTTTTAGTCCAGACAGGGCCCTGCTCTGCAGCAGGCCTGGAACTCATGAGCCTGCCAAGTGCTGGGACTACAGGCTTGCACCACACCTGGCTGCCCAGGTGGTTCTGGACGACCCCCTTTACCAACAATGAGATGGCTGTCTACCCTAGGAGGCTCCAGCACCCAGCTGACTGCAGCACCTGCGCAGAAGTACGTGGGCACTGGGAGTCAGCCAGCCCACACCAGCTGCCTTGGAGGGCCCCAACTCGGGCCCTCTTGCTGGGACAGTCCCATGCATCTGCTGTGATACACACTCGAGTGACGCGCTGGCTGCCCCGCCCCATGGGAACCATGCAACGCAGAGCCCACTCACTTGGGGCCTGGTTTGCCTCCTTCTTGGGCTTCTTCTCCTGCTCCCGCTTGGAGGCCTTGAGGGCATCATATTCCTTGCGCCGCCGCTCCTTCTCCTCTGCCTTCTCCCGCTTCCGCACCTCCCTCTCCTGAGCTTCCTTTGCTCGCTGCTTGGCCTCGCGCTTCTTCTCCGCCTCTGCAACAGAGCCCACCATGCTTGACTCCTCCCTCAAGGTCTCCTCAGCTACTTTGTCCCTTATACCACGAAACAATGTAGTAAAAGAAGCCAGGCTTTGTGGTGCATACCTGTAATTCTGACACTGGAGGCTGAGATGGGAGAATCACAAGTTCATACCCAACCAGGGCTACATATAGTCTTAAAATAAAGCACTGAAGATCAGGGAGATAGCTCAGTAGATTAAGCGCTTCCCTGGCAATTGCAAGGGCCTGAGTTCAATCCCTGGTTCCACAAAAAAAAAGAAAGCACTGGAGATACAAACCCTTGGTTCAATCCCCAGTAACACACACACACACACACACACACACACACACACAGCAGCCAGGTATAGAGGCCCTAGACTGTAATTCCAGCTGCCCCAGAGGCTGAAGCAGTAGTCTAGTGGTAAATGTGACACCAGCCTGCACAAGGGCAACTTGCTAAGATCCTGTCTCAAAATCCTTTTAAAGCACATGAGTGGGCTGGGGTAGGGCTCAGGTAGGACACTGGCTAGCATGCACACGGCCCGGGGCTGGGTCTCAGTACCACACACACAGAAGCAAAGGGCTGCAAGCAGGAGAGATCAGGGTGAGAGGAAGAGGGATTGGACTAAGTCTGACATGCCTCCGGAACGAGGTACTGATTGAAGGCACAGCCAGCTCGACCGGCCAGGCTGCTCCTGCAGTCCCAGCATGTGGAGGCTGAGGCAGAAGACTCACTTGAGCCCAGGACTTCGAAAGCAGCCTGGGCAACCCAGCCTTCACACTCAGCTAATCCCCAACCCTTTTTACTTTTTGAGACAAGGTCTCAACAAATCATCTATGCTGGGCTTGAACTTTTGATTCTCCTGCCTCAGTCTCCCAGGGTGCTGGGATTAGAAGTGTGCACCACTCAGCTCCAGCCAAGACCCTACCAAAGCAAAGCTAAGCCAAACAAGAGAAGACAGAGCAGCCTCCTATGAGAAGACACAATGCAGGTGTAGGCTCCTATATATAGGACTCCTCTCTTCCCAAGTCAGAAATGCACCTGGCATAGGAGGATGACTGAGCAGAAAGGGACAAAGTCAACCACCAGGTTTTTCTGAGAGTCACAGTCAGTTAGACCCAACTGAAAGTTAGACTTTAACTTGGGAATCTATGTAAAAAAACACAGATTTGCTCAGCAGCTCAAATCTGTTTACACATAGGGCCCGACTTCCAAATTACTGGGTTCTAAAAATGCATTTCCAAGTTGGTTATTTGGAAGCCTGAGATACATTTTTCCAAAGCCAGAACGCCACAAGATGGTGGTTAGTGGTCCCCTTAGGGCTTAGAAGCCGACTCGAGCCCTGACACAGCAGCAAGTCCACCGCCTCCTCCCACCCGCCTGTGTGTGGAGGAGCTGAGGCAGGCCAGGCCCCGGTCACACCACACCCACTCTGCTGCTTGGTTGGGCAGGGAGGACAGCAGGGTCACTGCAAATGCATCTTATGGTCACACAGCCCTGCATCAGGGCACTCACAAGCCAGCCAGCCAGCAATACAGAGCCCTCAGCAGCAGAGGCACAGTGTGGCATGAAGGACACACCCTGCTGTGGGGACAAGGCCAGACCAGCGGCCTGCTGTACACACCAGCAAGCCTGAGTTTCACTCAAGCGCAGGGGACCAGTCTTAAGCTCATTGCACCATCACTGACCACATCTGAAAAGCTTCCCTGGAGGCTGGGCGTACAGCTCAGAGTAGGGGACAGCCTGGTCCTGCACAGGGACAATCCCCAGGCATCTGTGGAGTGTAGAGCAGGGACTATGGAGACTGCAGGGGACACTTCGGGAGTCCACAGGAGGGGACTTATTTCAGAGGAGGTGGAGACAGTCTTACGACATACTGGACGTGGGACCAACAGAAGAAAAGAAGCCGGGCATTGTGGACAAACTCAGAAGAGGCTGAAGCAGGATCGTTGCGAGTTTAAGACCAGCCTAGGCCACGAAGTGAGCTCAAAACCAGCCTGAACTACATAGCGAGACCCTGTCTCAAAAAAAAAAGAACAACAGGAAGGGAATCGCAGAATCACAGATGTCATTGCTATTTTAGCCTTCACTAAGTCTGGAGATGAGGAAGGGGCCCTGCTTTGGCCACCTGGCACTGGAATGCTTCTTAGCCTTGGCAGGAACAAGACAAGCAGAGCTCAACTGGAGGCTGTGCTGACCAAGTGGCCCACACTGCCCCTGGCACCGCCCTATGGTGCCCAGCGCCGGGGGCTGGGGAAAGTCACCTACCTCGCTCCACTTCCAGCCGCCGCTGCCGCTCTCGCTCCTGGTCGGCCTGCACAGCCTTCATGTGCTGTAACACCTGTGGGGAAGGCGGGGTCAGAGCGTGAGAAGGAGAGGCTCTGTTCAGGGTCCCAGAGCACCGGGCCCAGCGGGCAACGCAGCTGTGCAGGTTCCTGTCTTTGTGTCAGGTTAGTGCACCAAACTGAAGTCGCAAGAATCCTACGTGCCCAGTTCATCAAAGCTGCCAAATCTTCTTGTGTGAAACACAATGCTGGCTGGTGAGATAGCTCAGTGGTCTAAAGTGCCTGCTTAGGCAAGCCTAGGCAGGCACAGGGGACCATGGTTTGATCCCCAGCACCACATGCCGTGCCAGCTCCACCCTCAGGGCAGGCTGAGCCGGCCAATAGATAGATAGATAGATAGATAAAGAAAAAAACACAATGCTGATCAGAATCTGAAAAGTTCTGCCACTGGTAGTGCAAACCTCTCATCCCAGGTACTTCGGAGGCTGAGGCAGGAAAACCTCACATTCAAAGCCAGCCTGGGCAACTTGGTAAGACTCTGTCTCAAGATAAGTGGGTTTTTTTGGTAAGTGGTATTTGGTACAGGGTCTCATTACGCAGCTCAGACTTGTAGTGATGCTCCTGTTTTCAGCCTCCCCAGTGCTGGGATCACAGGCGCACACCACCACACCCGGTTTAAGATCCATGTTTTTTAAAAGGGCTGTGACAGAGTAGTAAACCACTCGCTTAGCAAGTGCATGGCCCTGGATTCAAGGCCTTGTGTTCAGTGCCCAGTGTTAGAAAATGTTAAAAAAACAAAGGAGAAAAGAAAATGTCCCACCTAGAGCAACTCAGGTCATGTGTGTGCTTTCATAGCCTCTGCCAACAGTGCCCTGATCCCCTCCTGTCTGCAGATTCAACAGAGGCTGCTGTAATGATCCTACCCCAAGGGCAGGAACTCCTGGCCTGCGGGTAGGCACTTGTGGGCCGGCACCCAGCACTTGCCAGACAGCCTTCCCAGCCCAGGGAGACCAAGGTCAGGGCCTGCAGGACAGAGCACAGCTAGGGCCCGGAGCTCCCGAGCCTGCCTCGATGCTGTAGCTCACACATGCGTGCAGATGACCCAAGGAACAAGAGACACAGCAACACTGCCGCCATGGCTGAGGGAGGGGCAAAAGCCCCCCACCACCCCAACTCTGCCCCGTACTGTGGGGCCTGGCAGTGACTAGACCCTTCCTCCCTGGCTGTGGAGATGGTACAGGCCAATGCGACCACCACCCAGCAGAAATGCTTGTCTCCCAGCTCGGAGACGCTGCTGCCTTTTCACTCAAGCTTGTCACAGTAACAAAAGAACCTGGACTATTCTAAGAGAGCAGATACATCTTACTGCAGTGTGTCCTCACACATAATTCTGTTTAAGACAGGGCCTTACTACATGGTTCAGACTGGTCTTGAACTCCCCGTAGTCTAGGCTGGTCTCAAACTTGACAGGATCTTCCTGCCTGAGCCTCCCACGTGTTGGGATCACAGGCATGCACCACCAACCTGGGCTCAAATGTAATTCTTTTCCTGCAAAGCCTCAGGCAACTCATCATAAGGAGAGCTTTAGGAACAAAAGAACTTCCCCACAGAAGTCTGCTTGAAACCCCAAGAAATTCTGTCCACATAGCATCAGGCCAGGAGCCTGCTACTGTCACTCCCTGGGGAGTTAAGCTTATGAAAGTGCTGCTCGGCCCTCTCCTATGTGAAATAAAGGGGCAAAGGCTGCTCAGGCCTGGAGGAAGGGCAAGCGTGATGACGGGACCCAGCCAGGTTCAAAGCTCCAGACTAACTGGTTTTGAGACAGGGTCTTGCTACGCAGTTCAGGCTGGCCTTGAACTGTTGGCAATCCTCCTGCTGCAGCCTCCTGAGGCCTGGGATGACAAGCTAATGCTACCAATCCTGGGCTGGCTTTTTTTTTTTTTTTCTGTATTTAGTGCAGGGTCTACAGGGTGTTAGGGTCTTCCTCCATAGATCAGACTCGTAGTGATTCTCTTGTTTTCAGCCTCCCAAGAGCTGGGATTACAGGCATGTGCCACCACACCCAGTCTTAATTAACGTCTCATTGCGCCCTGGTGGTGGAGCCCAGCATGGTGCTGGGGAACAAACACAGGCACTTCAGTCAACTGAACTATCAGGCTGGCTCTACACCCAGGTTCTTGTACCAATGGGTAAGATGAAGGGGAAGCCACAGAAGCAGTTCTGCATGGGAGAAGATTTGGAGATTCACAGGAGTCCCCATCACGCACACACCAGACGCCTGCTACTCTCCTGTACTGCAGTACAGTCCTGGTTCATAGTCCCTGAAAGCCCAGGAGGCCCAGCAGAAGTGACAAATGGCTCGGAAGCTGAAGGGGAAGGGCTGCAGCCCGTATCCCTGAGAGAGTAGAAGACCGTCACCAAAGGAGCAGGACAGTATCATGGTTACTGGCCACCAGCAAGGTTGCCTTGTATGGCACCTTTAATCCTCTTTTTGTGTCACATGATCCAACTATAACCAACCAAATGCCACATCTGCCATAACCTATCTGTTTATAGCTACAAATTTAATACTTTTATTATCAAAATTCTTTCACTAACTGGGCTCAAGAGGCCATGGCTCTGAGGACTGGGGGTGCACCTCTGTGTGCAGAGCTTGCCTAGAAGGCAGGGTCCCCACTCCCTTGGTCCTTTCAGTGGTCAACATCAGACCACCCTGGAGCATGCAAGTCCTGGTTTCCTAGAAAGGGCCAGGGCTGCGCAGCCCAGATGGTGTTGTTTGGCCCCTGACACAGAGTCCTGTGCTGCTGGGCAGGGTGGATTTCCCAGAAACCTCAGTGCTTTAATCACCCAGGAGCCACTGGAGCCTTGTGAGAAAACAGGAGGCAGAGGCGAGCCCCAGGGGAACGTGTGGGGGACACCAGGGAACCGGGCTCACCTTGTTTGCACACTGCTTACACTGCTTCTCATCCAAGCAATCGCCTGCTACTTTGGCCAGCACAGGATCCAGGGGGTTGTCCTTCAGGTCCAGCCACTTCAGGTTCTACAGGGACACACAGAGGCAGCTAAGCCTGAGCCCACACACAGGCTGGAAGGGAACCAAGGGAACAGAGGCAATCTCTCATGTGCCCCCCTCGGGGGGGACATCAAGGCAGGGCCCCAATGAGTGCAAGATGCATTACTTTGAGCTGCGCGAAGCTGACAGGCAGAGTGACCAGCCTATTGTTGAGGAGATCCAGGTGCTGGAGGTTGACCAGGCGACCAAAGTCCGCCGGCAGCTGTTGCAGCTTGTTCTTGCTGAGGTCCAACTTCACCAGGTGCGTGAGGCCACAGAAATCCGACTAGGGCCAGAGAAGAGGGGACACTTGAGCTGGGGCCTGTGCAATATGGTAGAACTATCCAGCCCACCCTGAGTACCTAGTCTTATGACTTGAAGCACCTAGCACAGCACTTTTCTCACGTGCTCCATGAGTGATCCTGAATATCTGAGTAAGTGGCTGAGCCCATCCCACCCATAGCCTGGTGGCCCTCGGCAGACCTGGACACCTGATACTCAGCTTCTGCCAGGCATCACCTCAGCTGAGGTGACACCACTCATGCTCTACAAGGCCTTGGGGAAAGCCTGGAGGACATGGAAGTGGTTAGGACAAGCAAGAGGGGCGCGCGCTGGAAAGTGCGCCGGGGGTGCTGAGGGATGTGCAAGGTAGACAGCATGCGTGAGGCTTCAGGGAAGAGTGGGGGCCTCGGATGCTTCTTGACAGTGAGGAACAGCTCTCGGAGCTGTATGAAGACGCCCACGCCCGTGAGCGAGGCCCAGGAGAAAATGAAGCCACGCTGTGATAACCTAGTAGACTGCCAGTCCCTCAACTTGGGCCTTAGACCAGGAAGCCACCCTGGAATACAGCAAGGCATGGCTGGGGGAGGGGTACAAGCAGTGCCAGTGACAGCAGATGTGAACCTTACAGTGACAGAGCACAAGCATAGAGAAGGGCAGCCCTACCCAGCAGAAGCCAAGGGGCCCAAGGATCCTGGGTCTCTACAGTACAGGTGCAGCCAAAGAAGCAGCAGGAGGAGCTGTGCAAGACAGGTCGAAAGGCCAGGATGGTGCCAGATGTCTATAATCCCAGCTCAGAGGCTGAGGCAGGAGGGTCGCTGCAAGTACATTGGCTCAAACTACGTAGTGAGTTCAAGGCCAGCCTGAACTACAGAGTGAGATCTTGTCCCAAAAAAAAAAAAAAAAGAAAGAAAGAAAGAAAAAGAAGAAAAGAATTCAAAGGATCAGGAACAGGTCAGGTCTGATGGGTTGAAGAGAAAACAGCAGCAAATTTTAAGGAATTCACGTTCTTCCTTGAGGTAGCTTGATAAAATAAGGATAAGGTAGTTCATAAAAAAATCACTAATTTATCTCCTTATCAGAAGACACAGGCTGGTGGGGGATGGGCTTGTACCCTGAGGCTGTTCACCTTTCCCCCTGGAATCCAGAGCAACTCACAAAATGGTCTCTGGCCTCTTCTCCACTACAGGGAGATAAAGGACTTTTCAAAGGAATAAAATAAAGCAGGGAAGAAAAAAAAAAAAAAAAAGAACAGAGCCCAGTAAGTGACTCAGCCAGCAGCCTGCGGGTTTCCCACTGCTCTGAAGAATGAGCCCTGGCCCTCAACTGCTTTCTCTCCAAAGCGCCCTTGCCACTTCCAACATAACTGCTCAGCTGGGGCCCGCCTGGAGGCCGATCCTGAAAGGACACCATCCCGACCCCCACACTGCCCCGTAATGGAAGGAGCAGTGTCCTGGGCTCTATCCAGGGCTCTCCAGGGCCACGGGAAGTCACTATTCGCTTGACAAGCTCACCGGCAGAGTGCTCAGTTTATTGCAGGACAGATCCAGTATGGTGGCCTTTGGAAGCGCAGCCTAGAAAGCGAGATAAGAAAAACACGTCAGACCGGTGCCAGGAGCGATTCAGCAACACCTGCTGAAGAAGCATTTTCCACAGAAAGTTCCCTTGATTACGGAAGGCCTGGAGGTGCGTGCCTGTAATCCTAGCACTTGGAAAGAAGATCACTGCAAGTGTGAGGCCAGCCCAGAACTGCACAGTGACAACCTGTCTCAATAAAAAAAAAAAGAATGAAAAGAGAAAAGAAAAACAGCACTGAAGCCAAATGCAGTGACACATCTGTGATCTCGGCACTGTGGAAGGCTGAGGCAAAGAAACACAAATTTCTGTCCCATGTGGGAGAAAAAAAAAGACAAGAGTTCAACATCCAGTACCACAACAAAAATAAAAAGGCATGAAAAGCATAATATTGCTGAGAATAAGAGAAAAACATAAACCAGTCTACTATGATTTAAAGAAAAATGGAAAGAGGAAAGTTTGGCTGTGGAACACCTAAGCCAGGAAGACCTCCATCCATTCTTAGAAATTCTCCATGTATTTCTCTGGCACGTGCCTGGTGGACTTCAGGGAACGGTCTGTGTCTAACAAAGCTCTGCATTCTAGTTCTCTCCAGCTCCAGGCCTCCTCAGAGAGGGCCCTTGTCACCCACCTAGGCTGGCCACCTCACAGCTGAACAGATGAGGGAGCGAGGGGCAGCAGAGTGATAGCGAGGCCCTCGCTGTCCAGCTCTTTCCTGTGCTGGCCAGGGCCGCAGAGGCTCTGCAAAGCTGATTCCTTTCCCCCTAGGGATCATGCTGTGCTGACGAGATGCTGGGAGTGAGCAGTGTCACGCATCGGCCTGGAGCTGGGCTGAAACAAGGCTGGCATCTTCCCGTGCAGGAAAGAAGGCAAACACTCACAGAGCCTAGGCCAATCTGCACTCGCCAACTGCCAGTAAGTCCTAAGGGTGTAGTCTGACTACCCAAGAAGTTTTAGAACGAGGCGTGACGGTGCCTATCATCCCAGCACTTAGGAGGCTGAGGCAGGAGGGTTACCATGAGTTCCACGTCAGCCTGGGCCACCTGAGTTCAAGACCAGCCTGAACTATCTAGCAATACCCTGTCTCAAAACAAAAAAAGTTTTGAATTCTACTGTGGGGAGAACAACATGACAACTTCTCCATCTATGGGCATTTGCTGTCTTTCAGGCATTTTATGTTAGTTTTAATCTTCACAGTTAGTGTTCCACCTGGGCGCTACTGGGCCCATTTTATAAGTGAGGAAATCTGCCCATAAAGGTTAACTTGCTAAGGGCGCTCAGCAATTGGGCAATGGAGCTGGGATGTGAACTGGGACTCCCATTCTAACCAAGGCACTCACAGCCCCGGCCAAGTGCCAGGGGCAAATGCCATTTCAAAGGCAGTAAGGAAAGGGTAAACCAGGGGCAGGGCGGAGGTTGGGCTCTCGGTTTGGAATAGCAAGGACATGGGATCCAGCTCCAAGTTTGCAAGTAACTGGCCCTGTGATCTCCCGGGATCTGTTTACCGCGTGGGTGGGTGGAAGGTGGAATTCCCACCGGTTTTAGCGTGGCTGGAATGAGATTTCACTTCCTGCAGGGACTGCCACCCTGGGACTGCCCAGGCAGCCAGCTGGGAGTGTCAGCTCCCTGGAAAAGCTGGATTCCGAGCCACACCCAGGCCTAGCCGAAGGCCTGCATCTTCCAGCCAGCTTGTTCATTCATTCTCGAATCCTTGCAGCCTCTGCTCACCGGGCTCCTGCTCGGCGTCCAGCCTGCGCGGAGTCGGGCGCTGAGGAAAGTCCCCAAAGCAAGGACGTGTTCATTCTGGTCCCCTAAAAAGCCCGGGACCAGGATCAATTAGCACTCCGAGCGCCCTGTCTCCTGGAACTGCGCCAAAGTGACACGTGGACATCCCAGAACACTGGGTCTGGTCGCAGCCTCCCCGGGGACGCAGTTCCTCCCGCCACTTTATTTTAAAGACTGGGAAACTGAGGCTCGGGGCTGGAAAGGGCCTACCCTGGGGCTTCTAGGCCTCGTGGGGTTGTACTGACCAGCTCCTTGACGGGGACCTCATTCAGGTCGCTGAGGCTCAGGTCCAGCTCGTTGCCGTCCAGCTTGTCGCGGAGGTTCCCGCCCTTGCTGCCCGTCTTGGTCATGGTGACACCGGCTGAGCGGGCCCCGACTCCGGGCTCCGATCCACAGGCGTGCGGGGCTCAGAAGGCGTCGTCGGTTCAGCGGAACGGGACCTAAGAGACAACGCCTGCGCCTCGCCGCCGCCGCTGCCGCCGTGAGGTCGCTGCCGCCCGCCTGCCGGCCGCACTCCGAGCACCGCGCCCCGTTCCCACCGGTGCCGCCGCGGCGACGACCACTTCCGTGTCCACGTCACCTTCCGCGACCACCGAGATGCGCTGGCCAGAGCGGCCAGCACAGGCGCGCGCACCCCCTGGCGCCCAGGAGAGGGCACTGCAGGCGCTTCCTGGTCGGTCGCGGAGGGTCGCCAGACGTAGCGGGTCACTAGCTGCGAAATGGCACGGGATTGGACACGAGAAAACCAAAACTGACCTCCTCGGGTCATCCTCCTCCCCCTGGCTTAAGGGCAGAAGCTACAGGTCCTCAAGAATTGCTGCCGGCCCTCTATTTAACTCCCAAACCATAGTCTCTTTCCTAGATTTCTCTCCTCTCGGTCTTAGCTCTGTCTCCTTCGCTGCCGTCCACCTCTTCCAGCTCCCAGGATTTTTCTTTTTTGTTGTTGTTGTTTATTTGGTTTGGGTTGTTTTGTTTGTTTGTTTGTTTGTTTGTTTAGTTGGTTGTTGTTGGTTAAGATGTAAATTTTGTTTGGTTTGTACTCAATTTAATCTCAAAATTGCTAAACTGTGTTTGAGCTTTAGACTATAACATTTGTAATAATTGCCAGTTTGAAGTTCACCATATAAAAAAGAGGCATGGATTTACATTACACCGGTGTCCAATTTACATAACAAGGTGTCCACAGTATATTAGTGACATTTTTTTCGTTGACAGATGACATAAATTTGGTTTTGTTTGGTTTGATTTCTTATTTGCTTTTTGAGACAGGGTCTCACTATGTAGTCCAGGCTGGCCTCAAACTGGCAACATGGATCCTCCTGCCTCAGCCTCCTGAGTGCTGGGATCACAGACACACATCGCCACGTCCACGATCTTTCTAGAAAGCTGACCAAGCCTCTCTGCTTGAAATCCTTCAAACATCCAGCTACCCCTAGGACGTGGGTCTCTCTCTTTGGACTTGATGAGATAGGTCCCCAGGAACTATGTGACTCCCCACAGCTCCCCCTCTTCTTGGGTGCCCCAGCCTTCCCCACCCTCCCTCTCCTCCTAGCTGACTACTAGTCCTTTGGGAAACTTCCTCCTGACCTCCATGACCCCCGGGATGAGATCCACGGCTCTCCTCTGGGCTCTGGTAGAGCCGGAGATCTGCCACCTAGTATCAGCGTGACAGAGTGTCTCGGTGGGGTTCTGGTTAATCCTGGCGCTGCTGCCAGCTGCCCGTGCATCGTAGGCAACCTGCGCCTAGGCCCTACCTGCGGATCTGTGTAGAAGACTGAAGCACCTGAGTAGTGGCTGGGGGAGGATCCCACGTGTGGAACACACAGAGCTTACGGCAGCCCCAGGGCTCCAGCTGTGAGTCGCCATCTCTTCCCAAGTGTACTCCGTGCGTCTCCGTCCTCGTTGGTGGACCGGGAGAGCCCACCCTTTGTCATAGCCATCTTTTTTTTTTCTCTAAAATATTTTTTTTCCACTGCAAATAACCATCTCTCCCTCATTCACTCAATCTTATGTGAGTCACAGAATAGCACATGTCTTAAACTAGTCTTAAATGGAACAATGTGTTTAAGTCACAGGTAACGTTTAAAAGAAATTTCATAAGCCAGATGTGGTAGCACACACTTGTCATCTGTCCTAGGGAGGCTGAGGCAGGAAGATGGCTGGGAGTTTAGGGCCACAAGGGAACTCTACTATTTTTTTAAATATTTATTTATTTATTTATGTGTGTGTGTGTGTGTGTGTGTGTGTGTGTGTGGCCAGCTCAGCCCACCAGGGGGCGGGGCTGGCTGGCATGTGGTGCTGGGGGATTGAACCGCAGTCCCTTGTGCTTTGCTGAGCTTGTTCTAAGTAGGTGCTTTAGACCACTGAGCCATCTCACCAGCCCCGGGAACTCTACTATTGCACTACATTCCCAACCCTTTAATTTTTCTTTTCTTTACTTTTTTTTTTTTTTTTTTTTTTTTTTGAGACAGACTCTTACTGAGTTGCCCAGGCTGTCCTTGAACTTGTACTCTTCCTGCCTCAGCCTCATGAGTGCTGGGATTACATGCGCCACTACATCAGGCAACCCAAATCTTTTGATTCCAAATCTGATTTCTTTTCAATCATTCTATTTTTTTCTGCCTCAACAGAGCCTAAAGCTCACACAAATAACAATCACATAAGGTGAAAAGAAAAATGCCCCAACTCATACGTGTACAAATGAAATCTGTGTGCAGGCCTGTAGGGTTTCGCTTATGCTTGTAATGTCCACCTAACATGTACAAGAGGATTCCTTGTCCCCAGGTCTGTGTTTTATATTTGTTTCTTTTTTTTTTTTTTATGTATTTGGTACAGGGTGTCACTACACAACTGGAACTCAGTGATCCTCCTGTTTTCAGCCTCCTCAGTGCTGGGATTACAGGTGTGCGCCACCATACCCCACCTCGGTGGCTGGCTCAGCCCACCCTGGGGCAGGGCCAGTGCAGCATGTGATGCTGGGGATCAAGCCCCTCTTTTCACTTTTTCTTTCTTTCTTTCTTTCTTTCTTTCTTTCTTTCTTTTGTTTTTTCTTTTCTTTTTTTTTTTTTGTGGAACCAGGAATTGAACTTAGGCCCTTTTGCTTGCCAGGCAAGCGCTTATTCTACTGAGCCATCTCCCAGGCCCCTTCTTTTCACTTTTTTCTGCGGTGGCTTCCAACTCAGTCCTCACAGCAGTCTTTCAAGGACCACATTATTTTCATTCTAAAGTAAAGGAATTGGGGCCTGCCCAGTAGCTCAGTTGCTTAAGCGCCTGCTTAAACAAAGCCCTCAAGCTCAAGCCTCTGGGGTTCGAACCCAGACAGTCACTGCAAACCAGAAATGCCCTAAAGGCATGTCGAGCCTCCAAAAATAAATAAATAAATAAATAAATAAAAATAAAGTAAAGGAATTGAGGCTCAGGGGTTCAACTATTTAATGAAAGTCTCAGCAAAGAAATGAACACATTCCAATAAAGATGGGTCCCTCCCAGCATGGTGGGGAAGAGAAGGTGGAAGGGAAGACAGAAACCCAAACAAACAGCCAGGCAGTGTGGAGTCAGACAGCAGAAGGTGGGCTGGACAGCTTTGTTCAACTTGAGGAAGGTGGATTTAAACTATGAAGCGTGGAGGAAGGGGAAGTCTGTCCCCTTTCGGCAGCCATACTCCTGGGACCAGTCTGCCCCAACCCAGTACTGCCTGTGCCTGTGGGGCCCCCGGGTGTTTGGGGCGCTGCCAAGGAGACATTGTCTCCAAGGCCCTCCAGGAGCCAAAGATCAGGATGAGGACAGGAGGTAAAAGTTCCCTGAAAACCCCAGGGGGCCAGGCCAGTGCTGCCACAGCAAGATCTATGGCCATCTTAGCAGTCACTGGCCCCATCTGGACTTCTATTTATCCTTCTGTAAAATGGGCACAATTGCCAGGCCTGGTGGCATACAACTGTCATCTCAGCACTTGGGTGGCTGAAGCGGGAGTCCCTGCCTCATAAAAGGTAGGTGTCTCCATACAAAGGCTCAGGGTTCAATACCCAATAGTGCACATATACAGAGACAGAGAGAGACAGAGAGAGAGAGAGAGAGAGAGAGAGAGAGAGAGAGAGACAGAGAGAGAGAGAGAGCGCACAGTCAGAGGCATATAGATCAACAGAATAAAATAAAGAGGTTGAAAAGAGCTACACACATAGGAGCGTATGAGTCCTTAGTCTACAAGAGTATATTAAATCCAGCTAGGCATGGTGCCAGGCGCCTGTAGCCGCAGCTCCCCCTCCAGAGGCTGAGGCAGGAGGATCGCATGCTTGAGCCCAAGTTTGGGGGTTGGGCTCGTGGTAGAATGAGTGGTTCACTGATGATTGATGCTTTGTACTTAGCACCTACACAGTCCTGGGTTCAATTCTCAGCACAAAAATTACATTTTTTTTTTTTTTTTTTTTTTGGCGGAACCAGGGATTGAACTCAGGCCCTTGCACTTGCCAGGGAAGCGCTTATTCCACTGAGCCAACTCCCTGGCCCCCCACAAAAATTACATTTTAAAAAGCTTGAAGCCAGTTTGAGTAAATTAACGAGAACTTGCCTCAAAATGAATTAGTTAAGTTGGGCACGGTGGTGCACATCTGTCATGCCAGGCCTCAGGAGGCTGAGGCAGGAAGATGGCTGCAAGTTGGAGGACAACCTGACCTACACAGTAAATTCAAGACCAGCCTGAGCTATGTAGTGAGACCCTATTTCAAAAATCAAAACAAAAATTTGATTAATTAGTTAATTAATTAAATAAAAACCATTGAGGAGTATAACTCAGTAATAAAATGCTCTGGGCTTCAATCCCTGAGTACACCAAAAAAAAAAAAAAAAAAAAAAAAAAAAAAAGTCTAATCCATCAAAAGAGAAGGGTCCCAATAGTATATACTTAGCCAATGTTATTGTGGAACTTTTTTTTTTTTTGGTACCAGGAGTTGAACTCAAGAGTTTGAGTTTGCCAGGCAGCCACTTATGCCTCTGAGCTACATTCCTGGCCTTTTCTTTTTCTTTTTCTTTTTTACCTTCTTTCCTTTTTTGGCAGAACATTATCTGGCAGTTAGAATGAATAAGAAATATAAGATTGGCTTAGAAAAAAAAGATGTTTATCGGCCCGATAGCTCAGCAGACTAAAGCGCCTGCTTAGGCAGATGCAGTGGCCTGGGTTTGATCTCCCGGGCCTGCCCTGCCAGCCCTGCTCCCGGGGTGCGCGGAGCTGGCAATTGAGATGGGGCGTGGTGGTGCGCACCTGTAATCCCAGCACTTGGGAGGATGAAAACAGGAGAATCACTACGAGTCCAACCTACATAGTGAGACCCTGTGGACCCTGTAGACCCTAGAGACCCTCTCCTAAATACAAAAGCAAAAACAAAAATCCCCATGCACACGTGAGCCAGGTGTGGTGGCACACACCTTTTAATCCCAGCAAGCTGAGGCAGGAAGATCACCATGAATTCAAAGCCAGTCTGGGCTACATAGTGAGACCCTGTTTCAACAACCCAGAGTCACGCTGTAAGCTGCTGCGTGACTTGCTCTTTGTCTCCCCCCTGCCGCCATCCCATCTCTGTGTCTATATTTGTGTGTCTATACATACATGTGCATATTTCAGTATTTCAGAAACATGGAAGAACATAGTCCTCAGCTTCGAATAGTTCAACTTACAACCCTTCCACTTTACAACCATGTGAAGGTGACGCACATCCAGCGGATCCAACTATTTTCCAGCCTGGAATTGGAACACAGAGCCTCTGGCGCCCCACCCCTGCCTTCTGCTGAGCCGCATCCCTCCGTCCTGGCCTGCACTTCACAGAAACCTGGCCTGGAGTTGGCATCTGGTCTTCCCCTAGGCTGGCAGCATGGGCACAGGTGCTGGGTGGGGATGACCGCAGGGCACCATCACCAGGAAGACAACCAGCGCCCAGCTGGGCTGCATTGTTAGGCTGGGATGTTCGGTGGGTTCCAGGCAATAAACACATTTTTCAATTCACTGCACTTTCCATGTAGGATTGGAGTTTATCGGGAGGCAACTCCATGGTAAGTGGAGGTGTGTAAGGTCCCTTCCTCTGGCGCAAATGAGAAGCGGGAGAGGGGTAAAGAAAACCTTTATTGCTCAGCATTTGAGGGCTGCCAAGGAGAGGCAAGAACCCTCGCGGGAGGAGGCAGGGAGACAAAGACTTTATGGGGCTGGAGTTTGTCTGGGCAGTAAGGTGTCTTAGCAGGTGCTGATTGAAGAAGGCTTGGCAGGCAAGAAACAAAAGGGAAGCTCAGGGCTGGCCAAGTACCTCCGTGGATTAAAGTGGCCTCAAGCAGGTGCAGGGGCCAGGGTTTGATCCCCAGAGTGCCACACGCTGAGATGGCGATTGAGACTGGGCGTGGTGGCGTATGCCTGTCATCCCAGCTCTTGGGAGGCTGAACACAGGCGATCACTACGAGTCTGATCTATGTAGTGAGACCATGTAGACCCTGTAGACTGCATACTAAAATACAAAGAAAAAGAAAACATACAGGCGGTAAGCACACATATGTGCCTAACAAGTTCACATGAAACTAGGAAAAGGTATGGAAGAATATATGTTTTGTTGTTTTTGAGACAGGGTCTCACTTTGTAGTTCAGGCTGACCTTGAACTCACTGTGTAGCCCAGGCTGGCCTCCAACTCTGGTGATCCTCCTGCTTCAGCCTCCCAAGTGCTGGGATGACAGGTGTGTACCACCATGCTCAGCATAAATGGGTATACTTTTACCCTTCTTTAGGCTGAGAATTTGTTGCAATGAGGTTTAGCACTTTGTAATAAAATATAATATAGAAATGTTCAAGTCAGGTGTGGTAGTCCGAACCTGCAGCGTCAAGGCTCTGAGAGGCTGAGGCAGAGGGATGGCAAGCTGAGCCCAGCCAGCCTGTGCAACTTAGTGACTTAATGAGACCTCGCCTCAAATAAATAAATAAATAAATAAATAAATAAATAACGAGCTAGGGATATACCTCAATCTGAAGCACTTGGGGTTCAATCTTCAGTAACACTCACATGCAAATAACAGATATACAAGAATGAGAAGTTGAATATAAATACACAATGAATAAATGGAATGAATGAGTGAAATCCTACTTCGGGACAGATTTGAGATCCAATCTGGTTTTGCCAACTTTGAACACCTTACCTAGTCTCTCCAAGCCTGAAACTCCATCTAGAGAGAAGCTGTTTCTTTAGTAAGGATTAAATACAAAAATATAGCTGGGCCTGATGGCACATGCCTGTAATCCCAGTACTGTTTAGGAGGCTGAGGCAGGAGGCTCCCCTCCAGTTCTAAGCCAGCCTGGGCTACCTACCAGAGACCTTGGCTCAAGAAACGGAAAAACAAAGGAAGAAAGAAAGAAAGAAAGAAAGAAAGAAAGAAAGAAAGAAAGAAAGAAAGAAAGAAAGACCAGACCACAAGGCTGAGAGTAGCTGAACATGTGGAGGTGCTGTCCCCCCCAGCACCCCTCAGTCACTAGATCACATTTGACTGATCAGCCATTTGTTGTTATACACAAACTGCTTTCTCTGTACACAGCAGTTCAGAGCAAGTTCCTTATTTTCACTTTCAGTTTGAAAACCACAAACACTCTGGGCACTGGCTAGTGGATCCGTGTGATCTGTGAGGCAGAACACAAGCATGATATTCTCCAACTCTTTTATGCCTCTTCTTCAGGATTAAAGTGCACTCTTCCCACCTGTCCCGGCTCCTCCACCCCCTCTTTAGGGTCCCGGGGCCAGGGACCTGGGCCTCCGCCACACTGGGAAGAGGCCCAGTGACAGCCCCTCTTTCCTAAGAGGAGCCGCTCTTAGGAAAAATCTTCCAAAGGGCCTTTTTCCACACTCCACTTTTAAACAGGAAGCTATGAACATTTACACCAGAAAGAAGAGATTTGTTCACAGTCATTCACAAAGCGAGAGTAGCCCAGAGGCTGCCAGGACCTAGTAACCTTTACTCTTGTTACTTAACAGTGAGATCTTTCTTTTTTTTTCTTTCTCTTATTTTTTTTGAGACAGGATCTCACTGTGTAGTCCAGCCTACCCTCAAACTCATGGTGATTCTCCTGCCTCAGCTTCCTATCTGCTGGAATTACAGGCATGCACCACTGTGCCTGGCTACAGTGAGAACTTTCTTAACAGTGAGGACTTCGTCAAACACCAATCCTTATAACGGATTCATGTCTCCAGCCAGGAAACTTCCTCAGGGCTGTTAATAAAAAGGTGTATTAACTTAAAACACACAGGGCTCAGGGGCAGAATGCTTGCCAGGCACAGGTGCAAACCTGGGTTCATCCTGGTTACTAAAAACAAAACCCATGCCTACCATTTTAGAAAATAAAATAAGATAGTCAGATATGTTGGCGCATGTTTGTAATGCTAGCCCTCTCAAAAGCTGAGGGAGGAAAGAATGTGGTCTGAGTCTAGCCTTGGCAGTTTAGGATTTTGTGAGACCCTGTTTCAAAAATAACAAAATGGGATGTAGCTCAATGTGAAGCCTTCCCCAACCTTCCCACCCCCTCAAAAAAAAAAAAAAAAGTTTACAGAAAGGCTTTCAAACAAAAAGCAAAAGTCTCTTTTCCTTCCACCCGTGGTGCCATCCTAGCTCCCAGAGGAAATATTTTTTAAAAATTGTGGTGGCACAATCCTGTGATCTATGTCAGCCACCTGGATGCTAGGACTGTAGTACAAGGACCCGCAGACCAGCTCCTGCCCTGATGAGAGTCCTACTGCAGAGGTCAAGGCCGGGGCCAGGCCTCGGGGGCAATGATTTACTCAGAGGGGCAATAATTTACCCACAGTCCCCCAGGAGGCCAGGAACGGCAGGGACCCAGTGCTCCAGGTCCCATGGGCCAGCTCCAGAGCTGTCTTGTTACAGTCCTTAGGAAGCCACTTCCTTGCAAGTCCAGCTTCTCAGGGGGTTTGGGGTCAGGACTGTCCCCACGAGCTCCAGGGCGTCTGAGGTCACTTTGAGGATCAAAAAGAAGAGTAGTGCTCTAGCGACCTCAGTGGAGTCACTGTTCCCAGGCCAGGGCAAAGGTTCCTCAGGCCACACTGGCCTCTGCCAGCGCCACCTGGTGGGCTTCTCCATCTCCAAGTCCGAAGTGGGGACCCACTAGGAGTCCCCCTTTCTTCCCCTTGAGGAAGGGTCTGGATGATCCAGAACTGGAACCTGCACACACTGAGGCGACCTCTGTACCCCGTGCCACCTTCCTGGCCCATCCTAGCCCCAGGAATGGTCAGAGAAGGTCACCGACCCCTGGGTCTGGCTGCCCCAGAGCTTCCTGGGCCTCAGGAAACCTGAAGGAGCTGCAGGGAAAGTGAGATGTTTTGGGCTTAGCCTCACCCCTAGTTGTTTCCTGTTTGCGCTTCCGTCTGCACCTTGGGAAACTGAGTTTTAGGGCCCCCAGCTAGGGGGACAAATGGGAGAGGTCCCGGTCCCTGAAGCCTACTAGAACGATCAAGGCGGTGGCACCAGGGGCAGTTGGCAGCTAGTGGACGTGAGCTTGCGGTGCCCCAAGACCGGAGGAGAGCTCTGCTCATCCCGGGCTCGTAGGCACACGGGACCCTCAGCCTCTCTGCACCCCCCAATCTGGGCCCTCGTGTGCGCTGGCAGACTTGGAGGCGCACCCCCCAAGGTCACAACTTGGAGGGGGCCTCTCACGGCCCACAGGCTAAATGGGGCGCGGGGCAGAACCAGACCGCTCCTCGCCATCGTGAAATTAACCAACTCCTGGTCGCGCAGCCCCAAGCACCTGACGGCCAGGAGGGGACCCTATCGGGAAAAGGCACTTGCAGCCCGGGCCTTCGGATCCACAGAAAGCCAGGGCGATTGGGGGTGGGGGTCCCACGCGAAGGTGGCCCGTCCAGCCCGCGTCTCGCCCCGCCCCGGGACCCTCCCGCTCCCGCCTCCCGCGCGCCCCGCCTCGGCGGCTTTAAAAGTTTGCTGGGCAAGGAGCAGCGGGTGTGCGAGCATGGCGCTGTGCGTGGGGATGCTGCGCCTCGCGACGCTGCGGACCCCCGGGATGGGGGTGCAGGGGGTGCGGTCCCGCCTCGCCGGGGGTGCGCAGGAAGCCAGGCTGCAGTGCGCTCGCCCGCTCAGGTACTGGCCGGGGAAGGGGGAAGGGGGAGGGGCTGGGCCTCCCCTGGGAGGACCCTGGGGGGAAGGGTCCTACAGAGCTCAGCTGACCCCCCAGGCCGGGTGGCCGCGGCTGAGGCGCCCTGGGGGCACCCGGCGTCCTTACACCCTCCCCTTCCCGGATGCCCTAGCAACACGGAAAGCTGGCCTGCTGGGGCCCTCTACTGAGTCCAAAAATCAGGACTCCAGAGTCCACCCTGGCCAGGAGTGTGAGTTTCAAGCAGTCTATCCTGAGGGGAAGGAAAAGGACCAAGGTCTGGGCTGTGTCCTGAGAACTCTGGCTCTGAACTTGGCCCCCATCAGGCGCCAACTTGGGAATCCAGTCCCTCACACCAGCCACTAAACTTAGCAGTCTCCCGTCACCACCTGCCCTGGCAGAGACCGCCTCCCTCGTGCTGCTACTGCTGGGCCTGTCTTTTTCTGTCTGCAGGGCAAAGAGTGGCAGAGAGCTGGCAGGTCCGGATGGCCAGGCTCTGGTAGAGCCACCTGAGCCAGCCCTAGCAGAGGTCGTCAGTGTAGGGTGGCCCTCCAGTCCTGGAGCCTACTGCACCCAACAGGATAGCTGCCCACACACACGGGCTGTGTGGGGCTGGGCACGGGGTCGGGGAGGAACTGTGTCTCTGAGAACTAGATTGATTTTTTTCTTCTTTTTTTTAATTGGGTGTAAGAGTTGGAGAAAGTCCAGTTTCTTTTCTGGCTAGAACTGTCTCTCAATGAAGATCACAAAGTTGCTGAACTTGCTGGAGCTTTCAGAAATCTAGAATACTTCGCCATCTCCGTCTGCCTCACTTCCTGAGAAAGCCCAGAGGTCAAGGCTGGGCAGCAGATGGGCCCCGGATGAAGGGAGGGCACTCTCCCCTCCCTCCTTTCATCCAGGGTTTCCCAGTGTTCCTCTCCTCCCTAGCCTCCAAGCCACACCTTCACCCTTTTCTTGGCTCCTCAGGCTGTTTGGGCTGTAAAACAGGTACTTCCACAAGTCAGGCCTCTGCAACATTCCTGGGCTTCCATGTTTCTGTTTGTAAACAAAACAGGTCACTTGCCTGCTTCAGGCCCCTGACCCCTGAGGTGCCCAGCCTCAAGAGAAAGTGCATCTGCGGGGGTTTCCTGAGCATTTGGCCTAACTTCCTTCCATTTGGCCTAACTTCCTTCCATTCCTTTGTCTCGGGACTCCTATTCTGCCCCTCCAAAGCTGCAGTAGCTCAGACAGTCGGTAGCAGGCAGCTGGCTGTGTCCAGCCCCTAGTGGGTACTGAGGGTATACAAGCAGGAGGACTCAGTCCTGAGCCTTCCAGAGGCATAGGGGTGGGTGGAAAAGATAGGTCAAGAAATCACAGCACAGGACTCCAAGTACCTTGATGTGGCAAGCTCCTGGACTCCTGCCCTCTGACTTCTTTGTTTTAATTTTTAAATTTCAATTAGAAATAAGACAGCCTTGGCTTTTTGACAGGTTCTGCTGTATAGCCCAAGCTGGCCTCAAACTCATAGCAGTCCTGCCTTGGCCTCCCGAGTGCTGGGATGGCAGGTGTACGCACCCCTCTGGCTGTCCTCTGGTTTCTGGCCTGGTCACATGGAGCTGCTTTCCTGCTCTGTTGCTCCAGATGCCTGGATTTGCTCAATGGGAAACAGCAAGAACTTTGAAACCTGGCTTTTCTCCCTACGGAGTGTGTGGCCTGCGGCTGCCCAGGCTCAACTCTGAAGCCAGCTCCTTGGTTGCTCAGGGGTAGCTTCTGCTAGTTGTTGGGCAGGTGGCTGGGAAGTTGTCTGGTGCTCAGCCATTCCTTTGATGCGGGGTTGGTTCTAGAAGGCTGAGGTCCAGGCCTCTAGTGCGCCTTAGGAGACGGTCAAGGGGGAGGGTTTGTGTCAGCCCTGCCCCTGGTTCATATGCCACTTTCCCCATGGGCTCCACACCAGTGTCTCAAGGGGACCTAAGGGGGTCTCCTGGCCCAAAGACTTCAGGCTCTCAGAAACAGCCCCTGTTGTACTCAGGAGGCTGAGGCAGGAGGATGGTGAGTTCAAGGCCAGTGTCAACTATACTGTGATTTCAAGGTCAGCCTGGAGTACACAGTGAGACCCTGACTCAAAAAGTGAGGCGGGAGTCGGAGAGTTAGCAAAGGCTCTGAGTTCAGTCCCTGGTGCAAAAGAAAAATAAGAAAAATAAGAAAAAGCCATCTGTGTTGGTATGTGCCAGAGGCTGAGGCAGGAGGATTGCCAACAGTTTGAAACCAGTGTAGGCTCCAAAGCAAGACCCTGCCTCAGAAAACAAAAAGTGAAAAAAGAAAAGAGGAAAATAGAAATGTTCCCTGTGTTCCTGAAAACATGGCCCCGAGTACCAGTTCCCTCTGTGCTTGCGGCACACACCACAAATGAGCACTTGCCAGTGGTTTCTGCGGAGGTGGCTGTGCAGCCATTACTACTCGGCAAGTCTTGGAGCTAGTGCCTTTCGCAGGCTGTAGATTCTGGCAGGGAGGGAACGTTGGGTGATGATCCTGGGCTTTATGGTCTAATTGCATGTGGCAAAACGTACCAACACACTGCGCCAGTCTTAAGTGTAGAGTTCAACAGGGGTTAATTGTGGTACTGTGTTTGCTGCTGCCATAGCGAAGCCCACAGGCGGAGCCGTTTATGAGCAGTTAGAGCTCATTTAGCTTCCGCGGCTGGGCAGCCCAAGAGCTGAGCTCGGTGTGTGTGGCCGAGATAGGAGGAATGTGAGTTCGAGGCCAGCTTGTGCAGCGTATGAGCCCCAGGCCAGTGGGGGACTGCACAGCACAACTGCCTTAAAAAATGCTAACGAGATACTTTGTTTCCTCGTCATATGTTCCAGGTGGTGTGTCTGATCCATATGACCTTCTTCAGTCAGAGGAGCCAGTTTAAGTGCCTGACAGCCACACTTGCTAGGCAGGACCCATCTAGGCCACACAGCCATAGCAGTCTCCCTCCAACCCTTCCCAGGGCCTGCTTTCCCTAACCATTCAGGTTTCCAGCTCTGCAGATTAATTTCCCTT